TTTTCATATAAGCTTGCTATATACCAAGTTTGATTACAATACCTCACTCCAAACTCTAGTTATCGTCTGGAAACCATGATGTGGACCGACCGACGGACCGACCGACCGACCGACGGACCGACCGACAAGCTGACTCCTATATACCCCCCCTAAACTTCGTTTGTGGGGGTATAATAAAGTGAAACGAAAGTTGAAAATTCATTCAATTGAACATACATAGATTAATCAATTATTATATGGTAATATATTATATATTTTTCAAGCTATTTTGATTCAACATAATATCAATTTGTCAAATAAAAGATAATAAATTGTTTATGTTCCCATTGTCTTCTTTTATCGGACTAATTGTTGGGTGACGCAACAAAGCACCATGACCGCGAGTCCACGCACAAATACTTTTATTCTATTGTTTTTTTTTCTTCAAATTTACCATTCTATACGCAAAGCCGAAACTACATCGAAATGTTGTTGGACAATGCAATGTTTGTGTTCTGGAAAAAAAAACAACAAAAAAACAAGAGGGCCATGATGGCCCTGGATTACTGACGTACACTGCTAGGAAAGGTAACGGTGTTTTTTTCAATATTAAAGTCAGTAATGAGGTCAAAATGGTTTGGTCATTTTTTTTTATTTAAGCTTCGTAAATTTTAAAATATTTGTAGATGTCTGCTACAAAATGCTTCTTGACAAATATTTAAGCTCCGGGCATTGTACTTTCAGAGATTTTTATAAAGCCTATGTAGATTAAGTGATCTCTAGGGCAAGCCAATCTTTACCGAAGGCGTATGATTTACATAACTTTTACAGATGATCACAAGATGATGCTACATGCCTAAATATATCTATGTTCTGGGCCTTGTAGTTAATGAGAAGATTTTCAAAGATATTAATTTTAAAGTCTTGTTTTTAGCTCCTGTTATCCATCACCCCTCTAAGGACTATTCCTGTAAAGTTTGGTAAAAATCTATTTAGTGTTTAAGAACGAGATGTTGTTGAATGCTGACAGGACAATGTCATCATAAAAGCATTCGTATGAGGACGGTGTACTTTGTGAGCTAAAAACAATTAACTGCAATGGGACAATTGCTGATTCCAGAAACAAACCCAAACAACTTACTGCCTTAACCCTTTACCTCATATATACGCGAAACAACGCACTTTCGACCCCCCCCCCTTTTTTAGGCCTAAAATAGTGAAAAAATGTCCTATTTGGGCCCCAAACCCATGTTTTCGTTAGAGAAATGTTGCTAAAAAAATGAGCACTTTTTCGGCGCCGCCCCCCATCCAAAATATACATCAGGGGGTTGCCAGAAGGGGGATGTGCCCCCTTCTGTTAGGGGGGTTTGAAGGGGGGCGGAGTCCCCCTCATCGCCAAGAAAATTTTGGACTTGTGAGAGGCTAAAAATGACCCCAGGTCGATCATAATGTAACGTGTAACCAACGCTGAAAAGCCTTTGACTCTATCTCAATCCCTTGAGAAGTTGCAGCACTTTGAAATAAATTTTGATGGAAAAAATCGAGGCAAAATAGTGATTTTTGGCAATTTTGAGATGTCCCCTCGTTGCCATGGTAACAGGAAATTTAAGACTGAGCATGTCGTTACAAAGGCAATGGTCCAGTCAACATTTGTGCCAAGTTTGATTAGTATTGAAGCATTTTTCATAGTTTCGTAGCAGTTTGAACTTGTAACAGGAGGCTTTTCAGTGAAAACGGCCATTTTTCACAATATGCTCATGGGGGAAAGGGTTAAGGAGGCATCAGATATAGGCTATCAAAACTTGATAGTGAATTATCCTGGGCAAGAAAAACAGATTTGTTACAACAAAAAAACAAAGTAAGCTTTTAAGTCAAATTTATTTACAAATAAATATTAATTACTGCCTTAAACAACTAGCTTAAATAGGGTAATAAGCACATCATAATAAGTCATATATACCTGCGAGAGATAAAATAAATCAAATATAGCACATTAAATGAAAACATATAATAAAACACATATAGCATAATGTAATGCAGTAGTTACATAATATACGCCATAGATATCATATATCCAGTACTATTTATCACATATCATCTTAAGAAAAGTAAAAAAAAACAGTATTGTATTGTACATTTTCAATATTGTACTCCTACAATATTGTACATCTACAATATTGTACATCTACAATATTGTACATCTACAATAATGTACATCTACAGTATTGTACACATACCATTTTGAACAATAACAATACTGTAAATATATGATATTGTAAATGTACAATTTCGTGCGTCTACAATATTGTACATGACCGTTTGTACACTAGGATTTTTCACATTAACAATATTGTACACATGCAATATTGTACAAGTGCAGTATTATAATATTATAGTACCATATTCTACACATACTTTTTTAAATTACAAAGAAATACAATGCTTCATCCCAAGTAACCTCAGGACATAGACAACTTCTAAAAATTTGACTATAAAGGTCAAGGTCATTCAGAGGTCAAAAGTCATAAAGATTAAAAGTTATAATTTCATGTGTCAACAAGTGTTTTTCTCTCTATGTTCTTCTATTAAAATGCTACACAATCTTTTTGCTCTAAAATAATCTTATCAATTTATTTATTATATATTACAATGAATGAACATTAAATTTATAAAGTTATAAATCATTACTAAGTAATTCAATTTCTGAAAACATAATTATAATGAAACAACTGTCAATATCTTAAGATATATACTAGTACATGTATATTATAATGAAGAAACCTTCACTATATAAAGATATACATTATATCTAAGCAATTTTCAAAGAACATACATTAATGAAGAATGAACATTCATTTTATGGAGATATACATAAATATAAATGAACATTCAGTAAGAAATGATACAAATTAATTATGAAGGAACCTTCAATATCTATGATCACAAAATTACTGAAGGAACCTTCAATATATGATGGTAAGCATGAAAGTAGGCATTATGATGAAAGTATCCTTGAATATGTAAAAATATGACCAAGCAAAAATGAAGGCTGAATGCAACAAAGTCACAACTTGAAGAACAATAATTTATTATATATTTTACACTAGTTTTAAGACAAACTCAGAATGTTTTGTGATACACATGTAAGTAATGTATGATGAAAATGAATTTTATCACATTTGAGGGTGAGATATGAGATTATATTAAACATTTGGCCTTTAAAAACTTCTTTTTCTTTATATTCTGATACAGGAAAAGAATTTCATACTTAAAAAGAACCTTGTTTGACTTTCAGATTCCCATCTTACTAAACTAGTACAATTCTATCTAAACATTTTCAACAATTAAAAAAAAAAGAAAAAGAAAAGTTGATGTAGGCTTAGTCTGCAATTTTTATGTAATTTGTTGTGATTAATGCTTCCAAGGGATCACTCTTTCTCCAGGTTATAATATATATATAACACAGAAGCAAAAATATGCCACTCTATAATAATAATATTATACTTTCATGAACACTTCCATTGGCTTAAGTAGCATTTGTTTATTATATCTTTCCACTTCAACTAAAACAATACAAAACACTACAGATCAAATCATAAAGTCTAGTTATAAAAGCAAATTTATTGGAAGCAATGCATTGATAATGTGTGTATGAGGGATGATCCAATATTGTTTAGACTTTTTTACTGTTGCTTACACACATGGGGTTAAAATTTAGCGCAATATATATTGAAATAAATTGAAATATCTAATCAATGACAAAGGCTTATAATCTCTCCAACCTTATATTTTGTAGGGATATAACAGACATAATTCTTGTTCATGTTATTTTGTTACCATAACCGCCCATTAATGTAAAAAGTGAGAGCCCCTGATTCATAGTCCAGGGGTCGCTGGTATAATCCTTGAGCAAGATAAAATTTCTCCATGACAATTTATCTCAGGGAGTGAGTTATGCTCATTTGTATATCACTGCAGATTGAGATATCATGTGGGGAGATACTTACCAGTCAAAATCAGTCTTTAAAAATCAACTCTAAAAACAAATGACAGCAAAAACATATGTTAATGTGGATCAACCCTCATCAATACACTATAATCTGAACAGCTGATCTTTATCCATGTGCATTGTAAAGTCTTTGGTGGCAAGCTAGCACTACAAAGAGTAAACACAGTTGAGATTTCTAGAAAACGTAAAAATGCAAACTGTATCATTGTATGAAATATGACTGTAAAATGTACAAATATTATCACATCAATGATAACTAAAGATGCTTTCAGAAAAAGCAACAATTTACTGAATAAGTTGTTGCAAAAAACACAAACAAAATAAACAGAATTTAAACCAAAAAAGTAACAAAAATTGTAAAAAATATGTAACAAAAATATACAAAATGGACAAAAAAGGTAACAATGCAAAAACAGAACATCAATAAGCACAAGGTAAGGCCATTTACACATAACATAGAGATATTCTGATACCTGTTACACAATTCCTGGAACCATCATACAGACGTTTAACAAGAAACTCTGTCATAAATATGAGTGAAAATATAACAAGTTACCAGAAAAATCCCAGCTTTTTGTGTTCCGACCCCAGTGATCAGTACAACATAAGTTTGAACAATCTTTATAAAATCTGCAGCAGTAAAGTTATCTCATACAACCAGAAGCTTATTAAATAATATCACAGCAAACTAAATAAATATCAAACATCTCAGTGATGCAGATGAATCCTTCCCCTGCTGTGTAATAGACTTGCCCAGATTTGATTCTGGAACAGTTCATTACCAGTTTTAGGGATTGTGTTATAAAATTACTTAATTACAGCCTGGTCAGATATCGCAATGTGTAGGTTGACAGAACAGTCAGGGCTTTTTTTTTTACATAGTATCATTTTTAAAGGGGAAGAAGAAAAACCAACCTGTTGAAAACAAATTTCTGGGAAAAATTTCTGATTTTATAGAAAGATCCTCTGGGGGAAGCCACCTTTTATTGAAGTAAACTACAAATGTGTCAATTATATATATAATGACACAGATGCCACACATTCAACTGTTTTGTCAGTCTACCAATGGACAGTGGGACAACATAACAGACAAGGGCAACCTATATGTGCCCCCTCATCCCCTGCCACATGTGGGGGGCATAAAAACGTCCTGTGAGACTATATAGGTGGTATAAGTAAGGTGTATTGTTTCCATCATTCAAATGTTCAATATAACTTGTATCAACTTTTAAATTAATTTCTATTGATATTTTTTAATACATTCATGAAACTCTTTTTCATTTCCATTTCTTATCTGATTAATTGTTACTTCTTTTATAAAAACAGTCACTTCACAAAAACTTTCCATGGTTATTATATTTAAACCATTGAATCACATTTTCATCTACACTGCCAAATATTATTCCAATTTTCTGAATGTTGTTAAATCAAATTTTTTATCTAAAATCATAAACATCTAGCTTCATAGAGCGGTGGGTGAAAAATAATATTCATTACTTATACAAAATTAATAAATATATACTGTAGCACTAAATAACAACTAGTTAACAAACGTAGGGCAATAAATAATTTAACTGGAATCATGGGTTACAAACAATCTGGTTTTATCTCCTTACGCAAGATACACTAGTTTCCCTCTATAGCAAACAAAATATAAACTGTCCAGTATGCTAAAATAAATAGACTGGAATCAGCAAAATGGAAATGTTGAAAACAAAAATATCTGTAGCAAAGACAGATGCTCCCTGATGTTGCTTTAACAAAACTGAAATCAGAGATATAGATAACATTGTGACCTACATCTCTGCTAAAATTAAGGACTTTTGTGAGAGTAAAAACAGGAAATGTTTATGCCACTGCATCATATATTCAAATGACCTGTAACCGTAACCAAATTTATGTGCACAATACATCAAAATCAAATTAAATTATAAACTATGAGAAAAGGTAGGCAACAGTGTAACTGTGAGGACAGAACGAAGGACAGACAAACTGTAACTTTAATTATGCTCTATTGAAAATTCTCTATGGAGCATTAAACAACACAAAATGGTAAATATCTGCCAGTAAATATAAATTCACGCAGGTAATATTCAGTAAAAAAACTGCCAGGGTAATACATGATAATATAGGCAATATTTACAAAACAGGACGAGGTAAAATATCACAAAGTTATTAAACGAGGGTGGAATGAGCATCAACTTGTGTATGTGATATCTTGTGTACATACACATGTACATAATGTCAATATCAACCCTCTAAATATATGGCAAGCTACAGTCACTCGTATAATAATTGTCACAAAAAATATCAAAATATAAGCTAATATTAATATTAGAAGGTACACAATAAAAGAGTCAATGTTACAGAATCTTGATCTTGGACCAATACTCAGTTCTTGTGGATGTATACCGTAAAAGACAAAGATAGAATCTTCTGCCAATATTTTGATCATAGCCAATTAGGTCTAAAATCCTTTCCACAGATTTATTATTTTCTATTTTGGATTCTTTTGGAATTTGAAGTCAAGCTGACGATGTTAAGATAACATTGATATATTGCAGCTCTGACTGGTTGCGGACAACCTTTCATTCTCCTCCCTGTATTAATCCAGGCACATCCAGGCTCAGACTAAAATCTTGCTGACCTTCGGCAAGTCTCGCAGATCAAGATACTGTAACAGTAAACCCTATAGCATATAACAGGTAATCTACAGAGATCTATCAACATGTCAACACACTATATATATACTTGTATACACTTGTATGACTAGCTGAATAACATAGTTCATATTTCATATAACTGTATAATCAATTATTAATATTATGAAAGACGGAATCATAAGACATCAAACAGATTGATTGATGATCATAATAAAATGTTACGGAGACATCAATTCCGAGCAGATTCTACTCAAAATTCACACAATACAAAGCAGTATTTTTGTACTGTAGTGCTGTTGTATTGATGGAAAAAAATTTTTTTTGTCAGAACATATTTCTTTGGATTTTATTTTTTCTTCAAACTTACATTTGCGATTTGAGTAATCAATGAGTAATTGTATGTTGGGCTGAAGTACTTATTTCATAACTGATAATGTTAATTTTTCTATTTTAAAGAACTTGATCCTTTGCATGTTGAGAAAATTGTCATCCCATAAAAAATTGCTTGCTTCATTTTCAGATTTTATAAAAGAATTCCATAAACTTCGGACAAAAAAAGCCTGAAGATTCTGAGCTAGACTTTTATTTTTTATTTTTTTGATGCGTCTGAGCTGACTAAGGGATAAAACCAGTTAGTCTAACATCAGTATTATGCAACTTATACAGATATTATGTCTTTGTGTGTAAGGTGAAATATGCTAGTTAGGAAGTGTTATGAAGTTGGGTATTGTTTTAAATTATGTCAAGCAAAGCAAAATGTTGGTGCTAAAATTTCTTACAGATAATAGACATGGTTAGAACTTTGCATGGAACACTGAACACTAATGCAACAATAGTGACTTTTCTTGCAAACCAAGAGATGTTAGGGGGAAATTTATGCATGGCGTATTAAGAACATGTGACTCTGTCATCACCTTAGTGCAGTAACCAATTAAAAGTCCTTCTTAATTAAATAGCAGTTAACCAGTAATTGCACTAAGGTGACAATGTGGCTACAATTTATTAAGACTGGTTATATCTCTTTCAAAAAATGAAACATTGTATATTGATCAATACAGCAAACTATAGCAAACTCTGAATTCACAGAATGTGAGGTGCAGGTGAAAAAACAATTCATGTCTACAACACCATTACAAAATGTTTATCGATATATAAAAATGTGTATTCTATGTCAACATTTATAACAATAAGTATAACATGGACCATTATTTATATGAACACAGAAATGATTTCACAACACTTAGTTAACACTGCACCAATAGTATAAATCATGGAATAAGCTACCAAAACTTTAGTGGTTACCTCCAGTATATAAACAATGTGTCAAAATTAATTATCAATAACGCCCTTCTTTTAATACATGTCTTGTTAAAGGCCTTTATATCAATTTTAAAAGAGTAATATATGGTAATAAATCACTGTATGTGTACCAAATATAAATAAACTATATATTTCTATTGTCAAATAGAAAATCTAAATATTAGAAACAATGTGACAATCACTTTTTATTTATTCTTAATTATCTGCTTTTAATCTAGACAAAAAACTTCACCCCAAAACATAAACAACAAGAAATCCTTAACTTAACTATTACTCCACTGATCAGTTTAAGTAAAATTGTACAGGTCTCCACCAAATCATGAAAGTTAACATTGTTTACCTATACAAATATATGAACATTTTACATATAAAAAAATATGAAAAAAAAAACATTTTTTTTTACAATTTTACACCACTTACAGCTTCGGCAGTGATTAAACTCACACACTAAAAACAAACAGAATTAGTCAGTGAAAATAGCACTATACCCTTGAACTGAGAACATATTACAATTATAATCAAATAATGATGCATAAACAGTGAAAAATGAGCAATTTTAACAGTCATTATTTTTCCCCTCCTCACAGGTGATTTTATATAACAATATTAGGTATGTAAAAAAATGAGAAAAGTCTTTTATTAAAATATTATGAGAATAAAGAGTTAGAATAGAGCAGTGGGATTTTTACAGGTTTGGAATGGAATAAAGTTTAATAAACGTTTAAAGATAATATTAGGATCCAAATTTACCATCATGAATCTGTACAATAACAAAATCATGTAGGCTAAATCTGACATTAAACAAAAAATGAAATAAAATAATATTAACTTGATTTAGGGTTTAACACAAATCATGCAAAAATAATTTGTTACCACCATAATAAAGGAAGTGAAAATGTGAGGGAAAAGGTGAAGTGTTCGTTTTTATTTTTAAGAATTATGTTATAATGCGATTTAATTTTCCACCTTATTTTTTTTTATGTATGAAAACGTATCTCTGGGTAAGTAATGTACAATAACTAATATGAATATCCAAAATTAAGCATAAACAAACTTATTGAAGTGGTAAGAAAACTTCATTCTAGTCATTTAAAAATATTTGCAAATTAAACCACAGAGAAAATGTTGTGTAGTTATAGAAATCAGTTTTTTTGTCTGCATTGTTCTTATTCTAAAATAATCACTCTAAATGAAAGATAGCTCACATTCTTTTCTTTTTTTTTTTACTATATCAGTACCTTCAAGAGTTGTTTTGTATAATGCACATTTTTCCTATAAAAACAATCGTCTCTTTCTTTGTCAGTTGGGTTTTAAGTGTCCATGACACTGAAATAGTCCTATAGCAGCATTCTAGCTTTACTGGCAGAGGAAGACCTTAGGTGCCTCACCTTCTTTATTTCAGACACAAGTGCAGGCACCCCTAGTTTAACCTCAAACTTTCCTTACTCTTGTTGGAAAGCTTCCTTACACTGAAGAGTTAAATACCCTGACAGGATTTGCAGAGCTCAAGTCTAAGAATTAAATGATGGGCCATCAAATTAACTCATTTAAAAAGTGTTTAAAATCTAAAAATATTCATAGTAAGTGTGATCTTAAATCTACAGAAATCTTAGACAAATTGAAACCTGGACAGCAGCTGTCCATATGCCAATAATAAATCTAGACAGTAGCTGCCTATATGCCAATAATAAATCTTGACAGTGTTGAAAATATGCCAGTAAGAACTCTTCAAAGAGGTTGAATAAATGCCATTAACAAAACTGAACTGTGGTTGAATATATACCAATAAGTAATCTGGATTGTAGTTCAATATATGCAGAACTTTAAAAGAGAAAATGCAGTACTTTAGGGCACACACACATATTAGAAAAGTATCAGAAATTGTGAGATAGCATTGTTTGACAACAAATTTAATACAAGAAGGCACTACTTAAGCCAAAATTCTTGACAGGTATAACACAAAAATGTAGAAAAATGTGTAACATACAAAACAAGAGCTGTCCGTAAGACAGCGCGCTCGACTTTTTTATTGCTTGCCAATAAAAAAAGTTTTTGCAGTAAAAGGCAATACAAGAATCTCTGTATTTTTAAAGTGAACTAGTTGTTTGATACCCTTGAATATTACAGCAATGTTTATATGACATAATTTATGGTAAAGTGAACAAGTGGATAGGAATGAATTTTTTTAGATTTTTTAAGTTTTTTAGTGCTTGCCTATAATACAAAACATTGACAGTTAAGGGCCATAATTCAAATAAAATCTTTGACAGAATTACCTTCTCCTGGACATGTTTGGGAATCATGATTGTAAACAAGTATTCCAACTTTCAAATTAATATCTCAAACAGTTCAGTCAAAAAGTGGACTGGTACTAAAAACTTAACCAAGATTCTAAGTCGATAAAAGGCCTTAATTTTTAAAACAAATCCTTGACAGAGTTACCTTCTCTTGCGTACAGATGGGGGTAATGATGTGAAATAGCATTAAAAGTTTCAAAGCAATATCTCAAAGGGTTAAGGCAATAAGTGGATTTTACCCATATTCAATGTATTTTCTAAGTCAAAAAGGGGCATAATTCTGTCAAAAACCTTGACAGAGTTATGTCCTCTTGTCTGTTGATGAAGGTCGTGATGGTAAACAAGTATGGTCAGTTTCAAAGCAATACCTCCAATGGTTTTGAAATAAAGTGAGGTGGTACAAAAAACTTAACCAAGCTCAATACACTTTCTAAGTCAAAAAAGGGCCATAATTCTGTCAAAAACCTTGACAGAGTTATGTACTCTTGTCTGTAGATGGAGGTTATGATGGTGAACAAGTATGGTAAGTTTCAAAGCCATACTTGTAATACTTCTGAAATAAAGTGGGGTGGTACGAAAAACTTAACCAAGGTGTGACGCCGACGCCGACGCCGGGGCGAGTAGGATAGCTCCCCTTTTCATAGAAAAGTCGAGCTAAAAACCAATACAAAATCATTACTTTGTAAAGTGTGACTCCTTAAATCACCACTAAATAACTTATCACATTGTTTTTTTTACACCAAGCATGTCAATATGCCCATTTTTCTACCTTGTATATCTGTATAAACTCAATCTTTATGACTAAATTCACAAAAACTATTTTTTTGCAAAATAAAGAAAGCAAGATTTATTCTACATTAAACTATATCAAATAGATAACGATGCTTTCATACTTATTTCAAAAGCAAAGTCTTATTTTAGATCAGAAATGTCCTCAATCTTGTTGGTTTTTTCAGTATTCCAAAACTTCTATAATTCTTAACAAACCCAAACATCTATTTTCACCAGGAGTGGATTCCTAACGTTTAAATCTAGATCACGACCTTGACCAAAAGTAACATTGACCTTGACCCAAAAATACATCACAGCCATTACCATAGAAACAGGTCAAGATCAATATTTGTTGCCCTTTGGTGGAGGTTGGTTTCTTTTCCAGACTGTGTTCTGTAGGCTGACTGCATCTATAGACACTGATATATGCTTGGTTGATGCCACTTGAGAGAAAGACTTTGCACCAGAGTTATACCTGAAATTTGAATAAGTAAGTAAGTAATGACTTTATTTAACGAGGCTAGCACATTCGGTTTCCCGATCTTCCATGTGGGCCTCATAAAAACATTGTTTTTTTCTATATCTGCAATTTGTCAGAAACATTACATTTTTAGTATCTGAATTTTGACTGAATCATTACATTTTTATACCTCAACTTTGTCCAAAACATTAAATTTTTATACTGAAAATTTGTCCAAAACATTGTATAAAATTCATTTTATTTATATAATTCAATAAATATAAACCTAAATTTGACAATCAAGGTCACTCTAATTTTGACAGTATAATAGTCATACAAAATTATGAATTTATGAAACCTTACAGGGTGTCTTTGACTAATACATCAAAACAAATAGTAATGACATCTTTACTAAGTCACTATCAACTTACTTGTAGTATTTTTCCACCATTTCATTATTAATCGATCGTGGACCGACACCTACAATCTTAAAGCAATCTTCTGTGTCAGGATCAAACCCATACAGGCCTCGGTATCCGCAACTTGCATCACGGAACAATATCAAGAAATGTTTAGCTGAAGATTTGGCTACTTCCTGAAAGTTGGAAAAAAACATTACATCACTTGAAGAGATCATGCAGAAGAGTGAAAGACAAAGAGAAATTTACAACAGTTCTAGAAGAAAAATAAATGGCTGGATAATAAAATAAGGGCAGGGACGATGTCTTTAGGACTTGCTTTGTACCCTTTGTAGTACAATTCAGATAGATAACTTAATTCATGTTTTTATATTTCTATCATTTTTAATGGCAACAGTTTGTGGCAAGTTATTGCTGTTTGTTGCAATATGGCGTTGAATAGTGGCAATGTTAAACTTCTGTCAGCAACAGCTTTGTTGATCCTATCACAAACTTCCAACTATAACTGTCCAAGGTAAACCACATTCCTCAAGTCTTGAAAGAAGCTCAGAGACACTGGCACTGACTAGACAGGCCTGCATACAATATTTTATGAACACCTGTATAGAACCATCATCCTTCTGCATGGATGCAAGTTAACCTGAACACCCTGAATTCAATATTATTTCAATTAGTTTTATATAGACAAATAGAGCTTTCAGGAGTAGGGGAAAAAAAGAACTACAGGCAAATGCCTGAAAACATGTACCCATTGACATTCTTCTGTAAGCTAGCTTGATAGCTCAACACATGAATCAATTCAAGATTGCAAAATCTAAGAGGTTATGGTTAAATTGTCACCTTAGTGCAGTAACGGGTAACTCCTATTAAATTATATTAGGAATAAACATTTCACTACTAAACTGATGTATTGACTCCACGCAGGTTTTTTTGACACATGATGGGACTGGAAATGCTTTTCTGAGATTTTAATACCATTTTATATAGGTCTTGACAAGTAACTTGTATGCAAAATTTCAGGTAATTGCTTTTGTCCACAATGATTATTCTTAATGTGCAAAAATGACCTAAAAATATAAGTATATAAGCTCTTTTAACTCAAACTGGTTAATTGGTCTAAGTTGATCTTATGTAAGACTTTCAAATTTTATGTTTTTAAGCTTTAGACATTATTTTGTTGTTTGTTTGTTTGTTTCACAGTATTTCAGTCATATAGGCAGGTAGTTTCCTAACCATCGTTCCTGGAGAGTTACATCAGTACAAGACTACCTTCCTCCGCGCTAAACTACCAAAGCTTCTCCCGGGGATCGAACCCACGCCAGAGAGGTAACTGAACTAGAAGTCATCGACTCTAACCCCTCGACAACAGAGGCGGTACTTTAGACCTTAGTGAAGCTCCTTAATTAATAACTGTAATATACATCTAAAACAAGAAACATGGCAATGCCACGAAACCAGGTTTTCAATTATCACCATTGTAGATAAATATGTTGTAGTTGAAATACAAATACAAGCAACAAATTGTAACTATGTGCAATGTAAATCATGAATAATGTAGGAGAAATTGCACACAGAAGAAGAATTCACTATATATTCTGTATACGGAAAAAAAACAAAGGGCCATAATTAGGTCAACAAGAGCCACCGCCGACGGGGGCAACGCTCGACTTTTTACTTTTTCTAAACGCAAACATAGAAAGGTTTGAACATATCTTAATGTTTCCTTTTTATAAATTTAGTTGGTCTGTCTTGTCACATAAGTTTTGTTTATATATTTTGTATATATATATGAATAGAAACATTAAGCAAATTTCTAAAAATAGCAACATGACGCAATTTCTTAAAATAGCAACATGACGCAATTTCTTAAAATAGCAACATGACACAATTTCTAAAAATAGCAACAATGACGCAATTTCTAAAAACAGCAACAATGATGCAATTTCTAAAAATAGAAACAATGATGCAATTTCTTAAAATAGAAAAAATGACGCAATTTCTAAAAATAAAAAAAATGACGCAATTTCTAAAAATAGAAAAAATGACACAATTTCTAAAAATATAAACAATGACACAATTTCTAAAAATAGCAACAATGACGCAATTTCTAAAAATAGAAACAATGACGCAATTTCTAAAAATAGAAAGAATGATGCAATTTCTATAAATAGAAAGAATGATGCAATTCTATAAATAGAAACAATGACCCAATTCTATAAATAGAAACAATGACGCAATTCTATAAATAGAAACAATGACGCAATTCTAGTTGTTGTTGTTGTTGTATATATATATAGACACACACACACACACCAATAAATATATAATTATGGTCATTTAATGCACAAATCTGAGAAAATTCAGTAATTTAACCTTCAAGGTCAAGGTCATTAAAGAGCCCAAGCAAATTTGGGTTTGATAAACAACAAGGTCTGGTCCTTAAGAATGTTCTCTTATAATATGAAGTTGATCCCTTCAATAATAGCAAAGTTACAGTCAGTTACCGCCAAAACAATGAAAATTTCAATAATTTGACCTTCAAAGACAATGTCATTAATGAGTGAAGGTCAAGGTCTTTCGGTATATTTTTAACAGTAATCTTTGAAGATTATTATGTTCAAGTTTCAAGACAATCCATTCAAAAATAACAAAAGTTACAGCCAATAAAAGCCAAAAAAATGAAAATTTCAATAATTTGACCGTCAAGGTCATTTATGAGTGAAGGTCAAGGTCTGGCTGATTATTTTTAAGGGATATCCTTAAAGATTATTATGTTCAAATTTGAAGACAATCCATTCAAAAATAACAAAGTTACAGCCAATAACAGCATGAACAAGCAAAAATTGGACTTTTAACCTTGAAGGTCAAGGTCATTTATGGATGAAGGTCAAGGTTAGTGTGGTCTACTGAAAGGTCTTGTCCCAAGGGTTGTTGTGGCCAAGTATGAAGACAATACACCAAGAAATAAAAAAGTTATGATCCAGGTACAAGTTTGCGGACGGCAACGGCAACGCCGACCTGACTATAACAATACCTCTACTTTTTTTTTCAAAAAAAAAAAAGTCGAGCTAAAAATTATCCAATCACAAAACCCCGACAATATGCGCCAGGGCACTTGATGACAAAGCTTCTGTGAAAGTTTGAACAAAATCCGTTGAGAAATGTAGGAGGAGTTGCATACGGAAGAAATGTTCACAATATAATTCTGTGTAAGGAAAAGAAACAAAGGGCCATAATTAGGTCAAATATTATCTAATCACAAAACCCCGACAATATGGACCAAGGCACTTGATAACAAAGTTTCTGTGAAAGTTTGGTAAAAATCCTTTGAGAAATGTAGAAGGAGTTGCATACAGAAGAAATTGTTCACGATATAATTCTGTATAAGGAAAAGAAACAAAGGGCCATAATTAGGTCAAATATTATCTAATCACAAAACCCCGACAATATGGGCCAGGGCACTTGATAACAAAGCTTCTGTGAAAGTTTGGTAAAAATCCTTTGAGAAATGTAGGAGGAGTTGCGCACAGAAGAAATTGTTCACTATACATGTATATTCTGTATAAGGAAAAAAAACAAAGGGCTATAATTAGGTCAAATATTATCTAATCACAAAACCCAGACAATATGCCCTAGGGCACTTGATGACAAAGCTTCTGTGAAAGTTTGGTAAAAATCCGTTAAGAAATGTAGGAGTTGCGCACAGAAGAAATTGTTCACTATATATTCTATATAAGGAAAAAAAACAAAGGGCCATAATTAGGTCAAACATTATCCAATCACAAAACCCCGACAATATGGGCCAGGGCACTTGATGACAAAGGTTCTGTGAAAGTTTGGTCAAAATACGTTGAGAAATGTAGGAGGAGTTGCGTACAGAAGAAATTGTTCACTATATATTCTGTATAAGGAAAAAAAACAAAGGGCCATAATTAGGTCAAATATTATCCAATCACAAAACCCCGACAATATGCGCCAGGGCACTTGATGACAAAGGTTCTGTGAAAGTTTGGTCAAAATCTGTTGAGAAATGTAGGAGGAGTTGCGCACAGAAGAAATTGTTTACGCCCGCCCGCCCGCCGACATACCTCAATCTAATAACCAGTTTTTTCCTTCGGAAAACCTGGTTAATAAAAGATACTGAACTCATTAACCAGCTTTCAAGAAAATAATATAATTTGTTTCTTGCCCCAGTCAGTACTCACCTCAAGGACTTTATTTTTCTGTTCTGTGTTGACAGAGCCGGCCAGACAACAGTGACTGATTGCGTTAATAATGATGTGTCGATTTGACTTGGCACTTGGTTTCACATACAATTTCGGACCTGAAATAAATATATGGTTCCAAATCATAAAATCTATCAGTTAAGGAAAATTGAACAATTATATGTATCCCGATAGTATCTGATATTATAAAGTTAATATTATAAACATCTCAGGCAAGGCTTTTAATAAAATAAATGTAAGACTGGGTCATGTAACACACTATTTCAATAAACCCGTTTACATTTAAAATAATACAACAAATGGAAAAAGCGGCAAACATTGTCCCTGTGTTTTTACTAAGGATGTAAGACTTTGTAATTTGAATAAATTACTGATTCATACTTTATGCTGAAGTCTTTTTAACTTCTATAAAGTTTAAAGCATGGCAAGCTCATTAAACTTACAAACTCATGCAGGTATGGTCTGGTATTATCAATAGTGCATTGTTATGATTAAACGACAGTGAAATAAGAGATAAATACAATGTACATTTTACCCTTCCCAGTATTAGGACTTGCCAATGCAATCGGTATAAACCCAGACCAACCTGCAAATTTTTGACCAGACCCAATTTTGTTGGCTTCATAATTTTAGAATTTTGAATTTATAATTTTTTTCCTGACTAATGCAAATCCAAAGCAGGGTATGCCAATTATACAAACATAGGGAGATAATATTCAATAGCATATGTTATGTTAAGATAATTATCTCACCTGAATACTCTCCACCATGTGCGGACCCAGCCTCGGAACTTTCATTGCTACGCTGACCTCTCGGTCTATATATGTCAGGAGATGGTGGTCTACGGTGAGTCAGACCTCCGTACGCAAGATTCTGACTTTCTCCGTTACCATTGTGCAGGGTGTGACATGACACTACAAAATTAACATACGTATATATATAGATAATTGCTTTATTATAATATAAAATTTAGTCAGTTCACTACACTTATAAAATAATCAATTATTTAAATAGCATGTTACTTAATTTCAAAGAAAAACAATCTTGTTTAGGAATTTGGAAACATTGACAGCTGTCACTATAAATCATTTTCAAAAACATTCCCAAATACCATTATCAAAATTATAAGAACAAACCACTAAATTTAAACCATTTCATTGATTTAGAGCAATGATTTTAAATCAGACTATTGAGATTTATACTGTATAATATACAGGTAATAAATTTCTGAAAAGGAGTCTTCCACAAGAGCATTAAAAAACAAGAAGAAATAGCTGAAAATAGTAGACAAGGTTTCATTGAGTCTGTTCATGACAGAAAATATCTCTCATGCCCCCTAGCATCGGCTTAAGTGCTATCTAATCTTCAACACAAGTGATATAATAATATATAAAGTTCATTGTAAAAGCTTTTATGAAAATATCTTAAAACTTTTCCATAAATCTGATAATTAATGTATGAGAAAAACTGTCTTTTTTATTGCATAACAGTACATGTATTTGCAATTGAGGTAGGGAAGAAATAACAATCTAGATCTATAGTAATGACAACAGGGGAACTTTAATGTCTAAATCATGCAAAAAGAATGATCTCTGTGCAATTAACAAGTATCTGGGAGGTCAAAACAGGTCACAGTTTATTATTATATAACATTATGTAGTAGAACATTACTTTCAACAATTGCCCATGCAAACATGCATATTCTTGCATTAGCATAGCAAAACTTAAATTCATATTTGCATAAAATCCATCGCAAAAAAATCTAAAATGCTCAGTTCTAAACAGTAATCTAACGAAAATATTCAACAATCACATGCTTCAAAATGTTTTAATTCAAAAATACATACTACAAGTTTAATAACCTACTAAAAATGTAAGAAAAATTGATTGATTACATTCAAGAAATAATTGTTTTGGAATTCTGTACTGGAATTATTCAAATTACAATGTACCAGTAAATACTTTGTTCTAGTAAGAAATCATTCCAGGGACTACATGTATATTGTAAACAGAATGATGATCATGTCAATATTTTACCTTTCCACTATCACCTAACATTATAGAATAGAAATAAATCAACAATGTCAAGCCATTATTATTATAATTATGTAATGCTCCATCTATTTTTTGTCATGTTGGAAAATTAACTCAATATGTATTGGAATTTAACTCAATATGTATTGGAATTTAACTCAAAATGTATTGGAATTTAACTCAATATGTATTGGAATTTAAGTCATTATGTGTAATGAAGAAAGATAACTCTAACAGTTGTAGGATCAATCAAAACTTGCCTTAATTACATTGTACTTATATACAGCTAGGTTTGCCAGGGGATAGGTCCATTACATTATATTTAGCAATATATAAAAATTGGAAGGATTTATTTGATCTATGTTTGACACCAGTTTAACTGACATGGGAAGAACATTTTTGCAATAAATTCATAAAGTGACATTGAAATACATATAAAATGTACTTGCAATAAAAGCATCTACAAATTTCAGCACAGTGCATACTATTTAAAGGCTTTTTTTATGGACAAAATTGCAGCAAAAATAAAAGTGCAAGTTATTATTAGCATCTATATATTATAATAATTTTGTAAAATAAATTTACATTGGACGATTTTGTACAATACTATTAAAATATTTGTTAAAAAAAAAAGAAGACTTTGACAGGTTATATGGCAGTGTATATAAGGTTGTTTGTAATAGACATTTGCGACATAATATCGGGTAGGATTACCGAGGAACAGTTACGCTAATATTGAGGGGTCATCTCAACACATATTATGTACACTTTAAAATAAGACCAGGATATTTTATTGTGTTTCTTTCTTTACATCGTAATTTTCACTTTTAGTAACTACAAGACGATCTAATGCCAAGTTCTTTAGGTAAACTCGGAACTTTTTTAATAAGCTCAGCAATTGGTCGTTTGCGTTGACGGTTGTTTTGTCTAGTGCGCTGACGTGCATCACTAGTTTTGTCCTCTAATGATGCCAAAGCGTTTAACAGATTTAGCACGATCATCTTGACGTCTTGATTACGGCCTCGGTTGCGCTGTTCACTTGGGTCTGGACCTGGTTGAAGTTGTTACTGGATTAGGCGGGAGCGAATGTGCTGGTCAGCTGTCCGTGTTAATCTTCATTTTTTACATCAGTTATCAGAGCTTGACTTTACAATGACTGCTGCATGTGAGCCGCTTTAGCTTGCCCTTGATTTAGATGTCCGTCCTTTCGATAGGAACTGCACCTGTTTTTTTTGTTGTTGTTGTTGTTTTTTATCACTATAACCTTCATTCAAAACGCTGTACGGCCTAAATGTGTCAAGTGTCGAGTGGCAGTCGTAAACAAAAAATGCCCCGTACTTCACTTCTAGTCCTTCAAGATAATTGAGTCCAGCATTTTTAAGTGTACCGCTAAAGCCGGTGCTAGGGGCGTGAGGGATGTTGCACTTTTTTTATTTCCCTCATGTACAGAATTAATCAAACCGAGTCTGCAATTTTCGTGATTTTTTGCTGTGCTTCCGCAGATATTTCAACACTTTTTAGATCATATTTGGCTATTGCTTGCTTTCGATATATTAAACATTTTCACTACTGTTTAAATGCTGAGCGCCAAGCCAGAAGCTGTTGGTACCATTTTTCATGTATTTGGCATCACGTGGCTACCTTCTGTAGTTGAGGCACGCTCTACTAAAAGTGTTATGGAGGATTTAAATTGTATATGGAATATTATAAAAACATCAGCATAATGCTACAGCATAATGATAAAAACGTCATTTAGATAGACACTGATAAAGTTTATTGCATTTAATTCAGGGTTTGAATCTATCGTTTAAACGATGCCAAAATATATAAGAATTTGGTGCAGATTAAGATTTACTGATTTACGATGTAAATACTTATTACTTATGTAGTTTATCGTTTTTTCTTAATCATGCTTATTTAATATCTTGATCATTTATTTCGGTATAACTTTTGCTTATAATCCCACCACGATTCTTACTGAAATAGCAGAAATGTATTTCAAATGCACACATAGATACAAATTCTCCAAGTTGAGTTGTGAGACACCCGAAACACTTACATAATTCTTTAAATAAAAAGATAAATAAAATGGTTTACTGAAGCTATGTACTTATGGAACAAATGCGAGTACATATAGCGGACATGGCTATTGATGGCACATCTCGTAGAATATACCGATCTATAGTAGAGCCACAGGAATTATATTATTCAGGACAAAGGTAATATCACGTTATACAAACAAAAATTATTTCGTGGACAATGCCCATGTTATCCGTTACTTGAAAACCGCGTTTATTACATTGTTCGATAATTTTGAGAATATCCCTTTATATAACTTGTCCTCGATCCTCAATCCCCGTTCCTCATTATAAGCCGCAAATGTCTAATAAAACCATGATTTTCATCTTGCAATTGCTATGGTAGGCAAAGCCTTTCAAGCCTTACCTAATATAAGCTGACCTTGATAAAACTAAACCCTTAAGAAAGACAGTAGCAAGTGTTACTCTATATACTGGCTTATATAACCCACCAAACATCCATTTAACCTATATAATATCATAAGATTGAGCCACTGCAGTTTTTGATGATATTTTTAGAGTATTTACTATATAAGGAATATATATCCATTATAACCTGTCAAATGTCTTTATTAATGATAGTACGCTAGCTGCTACAAAGAATTGCCTATGTCACCAGTATAGAGCAAGACCAGCATGTGACAATCTGTCCAGACTGACTAGACTCTATACTGCTGCATGTTTAAATGTCAACTTCCACGATTCCAGAAATCTCTCTCAAAAATAATAACGGACAGTTCAAACAAAGAGCTAGACAAGTGCATTATCTAAAGTTAGCAGTGTAAAATTGTAGGTTAAATCAAACATTGCAACAATTGTCGTAAAAATTATGTTTTGTAACAATGTGTGTGGGTATAAGTATAAAATGCTGCTTCTAAAGATGGTGGGTGGGGTATGTGGGAGGAGGTTTGTATATATAAAATGATGGGTGAGATATGTGTATGATATAATAAAATTGTTGTTTAATAAGATGGTGGGTGGGGTATGTTTGTAATATAATAACATGTTGTTTTATAAGATAATAGGTGGGGTAAAGATTTATTTATTTAAAGAAATATGTTGATCTTTTACCTGCTTTTCTCATCGACTGCCTGCTAGATTTTGGGGTAAGTTTTCTGGGACCTTTAACTGAAAATCATACCGAAACCAATAACAGAAATAAAAAACAAAATGCACAATGTATCAACAATACCCTGTATCACAAATTCTTTCAGATATATAGCTACTTCTTTCAAGTATATAACAAATTCTTTCAGGTATATGAAGAAATTTGGAATATATATTTTTATTATAGATAATAATATACGAGAAATATGTTGATCAGGTTTTACCTGCTCGTACAAAGACGTAAATGTGCCAAAATTTCTTGATAAAGTTATAACCATTGTTTCTCAAAACATCTTTTTGTGATTTTTTTGTGGGATAAAATTAACTGATGTTTTTTTTGATTTTTTTTTTTTTGAATTTTTCAATATAGACTGTTTTTGTATATTTTGATGCTGTGTTGTGCATTGACCAATTTGGTGTTGAAATTCAGCCCCTTTCCACTTTCCAAAAAGTATGTATATTTACACTATTTCCTAAAAAGTTCAAATTTTTCTTCTTAGAGATCCATAAACATTTTATCACAACAGTTGGACAGAGAAAGACATTGTTGTTTGAAAAGATAATAGTATAGCATCATAATTCAACATAAAACAAACAATTTTGTCTGTTTCTTAATTTTTCCTGTAACACAATTTTCACCTCTCAATAGGACCTGCCAACCATTCCCCGTAAAGTGAAAAAAGCATTCATAGCAAAATGATTACAGCTTGATCTAACCTCTTTTAAAGTAACCATTGAAAATAGTTTTACTTCATTAAAATTAGCATGATTCTGGAAGTGTGCTGCTTGAAAGATATCATCTCTTTTTTAAGCTGTATCATATCCATTTATTATATATCTGAAAGAATTTAAAGAAATTGCTTTTCATGACCAAATTCAAAAGAACTTCATATAAAAATACAGGCTCAAAAGGAAAAACTGGATATGCAATCTGTGTCTCATATTATTTTTTTACTTCCTTTCTTACATAAAAAGCAATTTCTTTTTCAAACACTATCCAAGTGGCTTTGAAACAAAAATACTAAAAAGGTAATTAGTAATATATAAAAAACATTGTTAAAAAACGGAAAAAAAAACTAAAACTCTATCAAAACACATCACAAACTCTCTGACTTTTAAATAAAAAGAAATAAATTGCACACAAAATGATACATACAATGGAGAAAATTGGCAATAGAAAATATGGGTGTGTATCTGTGAGGGAAATGTGGTGGGGGGTACAGGCAGGCAACATCTGTTTTAGGATATAACCCTACAAATGCAGGGTGTTTCTGAATAAACAAGAGATTTCCAAACCCTAAAAGTCTCAATTTTCTATCTTAGCCCCCATGCATTTTTAAGTTTGGCCATCCTGTGCATCCATGCAGACAGACCATGCCACTTAAAAATGTTTGTATATTAAAGTCCTTAAAATAGTAATAGGCCAATCCAGACTCAAAAACAGAATAAGTCCACAATATAGGCAAAGTATGTTTTAAAAATACATGTTACTTGTATCAATCAAATTTTATATATGGAAAATACAATGAATTTCAAATAAATTGATATTAAGTTTTTGAATTAGTCATTCAAACCTGTTTACATTTACAAAGCAAAAAGCAATTAAAAGCTAAGCCCTCACAACCTATTTCAAAGAAAACCATTCACAGGTTGAAATGAGGCATTTTTAACCTATCATTAACAAAAAATTCTTAATTCCAAGTAGAAAGCACCTGCAAAAGAACAGGTGTATGATGTGGTTCTGTTATTGATTGCAATTGTTATCCCTTGAATATTTTGTTTAATTATTTAAATTTGCATAACATTTCAAGAGACCAAGCAATTATATTTCACACAAAGATAATATCTATCTATCTTAAGATGAAATTTCTCGAAACATATGTCATTTATCAGACAATTTTTACTTTAACTTGGCTATTTCACCCCCCCCCCCCCTCAAATTTTGCCAGATGCCGATTTCTTATTGCCAATGTCTAAAAACAGGCAAAAAAAAGCAAAACTTATTTATTCTGTCAATCCTAGTGGTTAAGGCATGGTAACTTCACAACGGCAGTCCAAGATGCACACTTGTTATAAAAATAACAAAAAAAAAACCCCAAAAAAACTTCTTTCTCAAATACAAAAATATTATACATAATGCAAAAAAGATGCAAAAATATATTCAAGACAAAAAAAATTAAAATCTTTTCAAACATGCCCAATCAATCAATAACTGTATATTTCTACTAAAACTGGATAAATTTCATTGACACTTATCATCTAAGAGAAGGGCTTAAAAAGCAGTGGCAACAGTGGCTGGTTCTTCAAATGGTAGATGACTTTTCCAAGAAATAACTATGTGAGACCTTCAAAATACTCTTTGCTAAGCAAAACATTTTCAAGAGGCAAAAGCATCTCAGAAATTGCATTAAGAAGCCATGTTTAGGCATAATGTTAAAACAGTGGAAAATAGTGATTCTATTTGTGAAGCTAGTTTCAAAGGTGCCTTTACTGCATAAGCAAATCTTGAGTATACAATTCTGTTGTCACTACTTTTAAATTGACCCTCATTTAACAAAAAAAACAATTGTCAAAAATTTAATGCATTTTCAGAAAAGAATAGAAAATGACTACAAATTAATCAGGGGAAACAGAAGGAAAACATTTATATTTTTGCATTTCCTACAAAAACCTACTATTCATAATGGTGGGTTTACTTCTTGGCAGTGTGTAAAAATCTGAAAAAAAATCACAATGATAAACGCAATGTTACCAATGGATCAATCTGTCCAATTTGATGGGAAAATTTTGAACAGGAAAAGTCTAAAAAATGGATCTTTTTTGTTACCATTACATTCACATGGGTGCAAGTTGAAAATTTGGAAAAACCTGAAAAATGTAATTCATAATCATTTTCCCTTTATAATCTAATGGTAAAACATGATGAAATTTGTCACAAAAAACCTGAACTTCAGGCATATGCCTGAAAACTTGCACCCATGCATTCAGATAATTCATTTACATGGTCTGATCACCATTATTGAGCCTGGTCAGACTGTATGGATATAAAGATTGGCCTGGCTCTATACTATTGATAAAGGTGAATTTTTTGTTTTAGTTCAGGCAGGATATGGACTTAATTAGTCCAATAAAATATTTTCAGCTTTGCTCAAGGTAATGTCTGACAGATTTTCCAGTTTATTCCTGATAGCCTACAACATCATGGCTACAAAACATTTGGCTTAAAATGACATCTATTCCTGGCAAAGCTATATAGAAAATAATCTTGATATAAAACAAATAATAATTATTGCAGAAATGACACCAATTTAAGCGCTATTTCTAGAAATAACAACATTTATTTCCACATTTATTAAAAATCAAAATTTAACAATAAATAGCCCTACAATACTGAGGAAGCATAGCTGAATAAAATCTATAAGTACAAAAAAAATCCACCACATAGAAGGATGAAAAAAAAAATTGATTCCCGCTTCTAAATGACATTTCCTAAATGAGCTATAATAAAAGATATATAACTGCTAAAAGCTCATTGACTAGTTTTGATTGGATTGTAATACCGTAATATGGTTGTATTAATTATTCAATTGAGCACAGCAAAGGTGGTTTTGTACACAACATTGCGCAGGTGAATACCAAAGTCACGCCCTCAAAGCATTACAAAATTTAGGAAACAAAATAAAAATCCAATTAATAATTATCTACTACACAAACTTTTCTATCAAAAATAAACAGAAACTCCTTGAAAAAGAGGGGTTTAACCCCTCGAAACATTGGAGATAGAAAAGTTTGTGTAGTAGATAATTAAAAATAAAAATTGTTGACTGTGGGTGCTGTTCTGCAGCAAATGGGTAACATATATATAACTTACAGGCAGACGTTTTATTCCCACCAGGTGGCGCTTTGACAGACTTGGAAGAGAGATCCTCGTTGCTAGCAGTTGCTGTGACAGAAGATTCATAGTCAGTGAGATCTTGATCAGGCCCCCCCTTCACAAACATTGATTTGGGGCGTGGTTTCGGTTTGCTTTTTGGTTTAGGCCCCTCCTCTTCTTCCTCCTTCTTAACCAAATATTGTTTGAAAATTTGTTCCCGACGAGCCTTCTCATCTGATTTTCTACGATCTGCCTCCTCCTGTTTAGCCCTATAACAGTACATAACAAAAACATATTGAAACTTGACAAAACCCTATTGTTATAATCAAACATTTAAGAGTTTGGCCAAAATTGCCAAAGAAAACCCCCAAAAAACCAACTTTTACACCTTGCCGATTTTGAATACGAAAGTGAAATTCTAGTCAACTTAAATCTAAAATCAAAATCATAGTTTACAATGCATTACTACATTCTAGTATCACTTCTCCCTTCATAACATTATTCTCTTTATTTTTTCTTGAAAGAAGATTTCACTTTTCCCTAATTTTCCTGTCTGCTAGCATTTTTATCTGAATTTTCTAACTCATAACCTAGAATAGGAATAATGAACTTCACATTATTACAATACATAACTTAAAGGAATTATACCATAATATGCTATATTTAACATTTTTGACATTTTAAAATCAATAAACATATATGTCGGACAACTTTACCTCTCAGCTTCACGTTTCTTTAACATTTCCATTTCAATCCTTTGTTTCTTTCTCTCCTGTTCTTCCTGTCGTTTTTGTCTCATTCTTTCTATCTTCTCTTTCTTTTTCAACATTTCCTCTTCTACACTCTGAAATATAGGGTTTAGAAAATATATATTAATAAGTCTGCTGTGATTTCAAATTCAACAGCTTGGTGTGAAAGGGTCTTAATTCCTTCTTTATCTAATATGAGTTACAGCCCTTTCGCACCAAGCCCTCGTTAACAAGAACTGTATTATGCCCATTTCAACACATTTTGTGTCATATCTTGGCAGTCAGCCCAACTAACTAGCTTTGCTGACTAAACCGTTATTGACAATTTCTCTGCCAGGGACCAACCACTAATACCATATGATTTCTGAATCAGCAGTGAGGGTCAAATGACCCTTTAAGTCTCAATGTCCGAGATAAACTGTCACAAAGTGATTTCATTTTACCATCAGATAGCTGACAGCTTCAGCACATGAAATAAGTTCTTAGTCATTGGACAGTCAAGTGCTCTTCTTTATGTTAAGAATTTTCATCCTATCTTTAACAGAAAGGCAAAAATACAATTTATCCTATCTTTAACAGAAAGGAAAAGAAATAGAGGATATTTGTTTACTTCAGTGTAAGATCGGAATATATTTCACCAAGTGAGCACAAAAAGGTATATTTCACGAGTGGCGCAGGATCGAGTGAAATATGAACTTTTGGTGTTCAAGAGGTGAAATATATTTCGATCTTACACTAAACTAAACAAATTTTCTTTTTATTGCAAAGAAACGTTTAATAAGACATTTTAACCTAGTACTTAATGAAAAGCGTGCCAAATAATAATACAAAGAGACGTCATTTATGACGTTACACCATTAAGTTGGTTTCCAGTATTGTGCACGCTGGTAAATCACTGAGACAATGTTACAGGCTTGAATTAAAAAAAGTGAAAATTATCAAATTGATAATTTCACTATTTCAAACAGTGAAATTATCAGTTTTTAACTCACTGATATATTTCTATAAACCACCGAAAAGCATGTAATAAACTTTTACCCTATCTTTTAGGAATGGCGAAGATATTTAAACCTATCTTTTAAAGAATGGCAAAAAAACTTTTACTTAATCTTTTACATAATGGCAAGTAATGGTAAGAATACATAAATTGTCTTACTTGATTCAAAGATGTTTCATCTTGTCCTATCACAAACCCGACTGAGGTATCCTGCTGGGCAATCTTACTGTCTTCTGTTGTCATTGAACTACTTGGTTCAGACTGAAATGAGGCTTCTTCTTGTGGAGGTTTACGGGTCTGCTCTGTCACGTCTTTGTCTGTGTTTACTACTGCCGGAGACTCGTATCGATTTGTACTGGTTTCAGTTTTTTGTGAATGTTCAGTTGTTACACTATCACTATCTATTTGAGTTTTAGCACTAGGTTGAGACGTTATTATGGTTTCAGACTTATTTATAGAACTATCATGTATCACATTGTCTGTTTGTCTATTTAGAATATCCGTAGGCACAGTCGAGTGTTGAGTTTGTTGAGGAATTTGTGATCCAGTCTGGGACAGTAGTTGTTGCTGTAGAAAAGCTTGCTGGTTTCCGGTATTGAATGGTAAAGGTTGGGAACCAGGAGGTGTATATTGTAGATTTTGGTGAGCAGAAGTTGTGTAGGTACCAGTGAGGTTAGGAGGAAATGTCTGGAACTGTGTGTGGGTGGGAGAAGCATAAATGGCTGAATAAGGCTGGGATTGAGGAGAAATAATTGGTTGTGGAGGGAACTGTTGCCCTGGATACATGCTTGCTGCTCCTGGGTACACCTGTGGAGGACTGTGTTGATAAGGAGAAGGGATTGGTTGATGCATGTGTCCAATTGGTTGCTGTGTGGTGGGACCCATGATATAACTACCATACTGCTGTGCTGTGGGCGGGATACCAGGTTGATTTGATCCAGGTATGAAGTGACTTGGAGTTCCGTACACAGGACCGGCTGGGCCGGCAACCGATGCTGGATTCTGCATCATAAACGGCTGACCTTGAGTCTGCTGGTACCCTGTTTGTCTTGGTAATGTCTGAGACTGATAATTACCAATCTGTTGCTCACTATCATAATCTGGTACAATCTGCCTTGGTTCTGAAGAACTTCGACCTTGGGAATGTGTGGGGTGAGCACTCCTTGACCTTTCATCATGGACCTTTGCCCTTTCTGGCATTATTTTCTGTCTAACATCCAGAGCAGTTGGAGGGGACTTTGACCTTGACCTTTGGTCAATGTCTCTGGAAGTTTGTTCAGGTTTCTTCTGTTTCAAAGATAGCCTTTGAATTTCCCCTTGTAAGTCTGATAGGCTTTGGTTCAGTTTATCAAGAGAATGGTTGTACTCATCGTATGACTCGCCCTTTTCTGCTCGGTTACCAGAATCTCTCCTACCTTCCCGATCTACTGAGGAACTACGTCTATCTATCACAGATTGACCAACATCTTGTTGTTGCAAAGAATTCTGAGCTACTGGTCTTTCAACAGAGGCACTCCTTCTGTCATAACCTGGCTGAGACATATGTCGATCGTCAATACTACGTCCATCAATGACCGGCTGCTGTACTGAGTTCTGAATTAAAGACCTTTCGACACTTTGCCTATCATAACCATGTCTTGGACTTACTTCACTATTAACAGGCTTTTGATCATTCTGAACACTAACTCTTTCAACAGACGTACTTCTACGATCAAACACAGGCCTTCTTATAACTGGTCCTTCAGATTCCAGCTCATCTACATAGTCACCATTAGGAGACAAATGTCCTTCTGGGTATTCACTTTCATTTTGTGCTTCATATCTCCCATTTGAGGTTGTATCACCATCGTTAAACCATTTCATTCTGACATTTTCAATAGTCTGCTGTAGATCGTCTCTGGACACCGGACGTGGGTTTTTCAGGTGAGCTGGAGATTTTACAGGTGAGGACGATGATGACAATGAAGATGTTGTTGATGATGTCATACTTGACTCGGTGATTGTTGATAAAGGTAATGAAGGGTCCGAGTTGATCATTCTGGATGGCAGAATAATATTGCCAGTATTATCAGGAACAACGTTACTGTCATCTTTCGGTTTAGCTACAACATGTAAGAAAGCAGCTTTACCTAATCTTTGTCTCATTTTTTGTTGTTGAATTTCTTGGGTATGTTTTTTTCTTTGGATAGCTTTCCGCTTTTCTTCTAATTTCATTTTAATTTTTAGAAGTTCTGTGCTTGCTGCATCAGAAGTTGCATCCCCACTGGTGGACGCTTGGGTGGCTTGACCCACACTTGAATCAGCATTTTGCTGCCAGGTTCTCTGGTTAGAGGCTGTACCAAGGGTCATTTTTAATTCTTGTTGCTTTTTATGAAAACTATCTTTCAGTGACGGTCTTTGACCATCCTCCTGCCCATGCTGCATGTATACAAATCCTGAATTATCGACATTTCCAAACTGTTTCATTTGTTTTATTTGGGCAAAATTGGTTTCATTACCTTTTCTACCCTTATCAAAGTCTTTCAAAGTTCTTGACATAATAACTGGCTTCTGTATAATAAATCTCCCAGGGTCTGAAAAATCATTTTCATTTTTTCTAAGATTGTCATTATTATTGTTAACTTTATTTTCCGTTTCTTGTGTTTTATGATCAAAGTGTATTTTGTGAGATTCATGGTCAGAATACTCCCCAGAACTTTTACTGCTGGCAACGCTACCCTCCCTTGAAAGACGACGCGGAGTCAGATTAAAGTCGTCAATTATCGGAATCCCAGCGGCCCTGGCAGCTTCCGGTGTTTTAATATGGTCTACTATATAACTTTCCGCAACAGTTACATCACTCCTATGTGTTAAAATTTCCTCATCGTCATTAACGATACCTGTCATCGGAGAAAACATTGACAAACTTTGATCGTCAATAACACTTTTACGTAAAGTGTCAAAAAGGTCATTATCTGGCACAGGGGTAATAGTTTCTGTACTTTCATCACACATTGCAGATCTATCAATAACCGCAAAATGAGGATCAATTTGTACTACTTTTTTCACTTTAGATGCAGATGGTGTTTCATCTCTTTCTTCTGCTTTAGTGTGATTATTTATTTTCTCTTTAGCCGGTTTTAGTCGAGCAGGCATAAGAGGCTCAAGGTTACCTTCCACTGGTATAATATGTACATTTTCATTATAATCACCCCTTGGGGAATGAAATGCAGACTCATAGTCATGTGACTGGTTCTCGCCGGTACTAGGAACACAAAATTCTGCACCGGAATTAACACTTGCTAGATCCAAATGTTCGGGAAACGGAGTTTTTTGTTTATTTGGAAATGGTGTTCCCTTTTTATTTTGAAGACTAAAATTTATCACATTTTCGTCATGACTTTCTGTTGCCTCAAACTGAGATCGTTCTGTGTTTAATCGTGGCGACGTGTCAAGGTCACCAAGATCTATGCTTCCACTAGAGAAGCTTGCGTTCATATCAGAGTCTATGCTCACATTAGACAGTAGGTTACTGCTAGCTTTGCTGGGCTCCGCCCCATCTTTTCCACTGAAAACAAAAACAACAAATGTACAACATCAGTTTATGCTCCCAACATTACTGTAAAGTAAAAGTAGCGTAATTTGTCTATAATCTTTATTGTAACAATTTTATGTAATACTGGTCTATTATTACTGTAAAATCAGGAAACTTTGCAACAATTTAGATTTCATTAATTACACAAATTTTGAATGTTTTCTTTTTCTTTTTTTCCTTTCTGAAAATAAATGTTGGATAAGTATCATATAAAATTTTACAGAATTGTTATTCACAAAAACATATTAAACTTTTGTTCATATAAATTTTATTGTGCATTACCTACACATTTATTTCATAGTGTCGCAAAAATTGCACAGGTATGTGATAAGTCCATAAGGAAAGACAATTCATGTAAGACTGTAATATAGACGTAGTTGTAGATATTGACCTGCAGGTGGCAACAGATTTTACTCATGCTAACAGTGCAGACAAAGATCACATTGCATGGATCATGATCTGCAGGGTTTACTACTCGAGAAGCAAAAAATATTTTCAGAATGACTCGTCCTGCAGGACGAGTAGTTTCTAAATTCAATGTGCAGGCAACATTGTTTCTACTTGTCCTACATCAAATTCTCTTAATTTCTACTCGTATTTACCAGCAGGAGAGTGGAATTTTCAATCTCTGCAGTCAGTATAAATTTTGAAATGTTCCCTTTAAAATGAAGAATGGTTTTGTCCAGATGGATAAGTCTATTTAAGATTGTAACAAAAAGGAAAATAATCAGTTGTAGTTTATTGATTAAAATCTGTAGGAGTGATTTCCCTTGGCTGTTTTATTAGTTAGTCATGCTTGTAATTGTTCCCGCCGTTTTCTGAGTTGTCATCAGTTTTTGGTAGAAGGCAGACATGTTTTTCAGTTGTTTATAGTTAGTTATTACTTCTTAAAAAGGATTGTGGATTTTGGATTGAGGTTGGTGAAGTTTTATATTGGTTGCTTACTTTGTTTAAGTGAGTTACAAATGAGCTGTGTATCTGAAGTTTATTAAAATAAGATATTCATGTATATTGTACATGATTTGTTTACAATGCATCTGATAATGGCAGCAAATTTAAAGTTAAGATCTATTTGCAGTAATTAATATAAATCACTGTCATTCTCTATTGTGCACATGTTTAATTACAGTATGTTGCAGTAACATCACAAGATTGAGAGGATTTTTGTATGAGTGTCATTTGAGTCCAATCCACAATTGGTATGTATAATTGTACATGTCATATTATTGTTTTTACTATTTTATAAGTTTACAATATTTCATTTAATAGGCCACTAGATTGAATTATTAAATATTGAATATAATGCAGAAAACTGTACATGGAATGTTCATTCATTAATATTAAAGTAATTAATTGATGTAATGGTTTAATGACTGTTATATTGGCTATTTGATGTGAGATGTATGTTATAATTATGCTATGACTTAAATTGTATATATTGTGTTGTGTTAGTGATCTCAGTATGTACATGTATGTAGTATTGCTATATTTGTTTGTTTCAGGGCTTGATCTTCTTGATACTGATTATATATTGATTGGTGCTTAAACAAGTGCTTGATGTGAAGTTGTGATGTGACTAACCTCTTGGGTTAAATCTACTTGAAGTTTTATATTAATATACAGTAAATTCCGCTTATAACGAACTCACTGGGACATTCAAAACCTGTTCCTTATATCCGGAGTTCCTTGTAAGCATATAGCGAATTAGTTCCTTGTATCAGGAGTTTTTATAGCGAACAGATTTACATAAAACAAACGGATTGTTTACCATTGTCCGCCATTTTTGAAGAGCATTTGATTAAGAAATAGAAATATTCGTCATTTATTTATATTTTAGACACAATACCCAAGAGCGTACATTTTGGAACTTGAAAATCATTGCTATTTCAGTTTTAGTTTTACTCTTTATCTCAATTTCACATAAAATATAATTTTTTGTTTCTAAACTCTTTTTGTTTTCTTTCCATGATTGAGAATAAACAAGATTTTCAATTTTTCCTTCCTTTTATATTGAATATCTTCTATTATAATTTATGGGTGACTTTTACTAATGTAAGGTATAGATTTCTTTTCATTTAAATCAAGCGTACTTTGCAGTTTGCAATGGATCATGCTTGCAAGCATGCATGATTATGTTGAAAACCGATTATAAATTATTATAATTATTTTACTCGAGCAAAACTATTGAAGAAAATAAATAAATAACCATTTTATCTTGGTGAAAAGAGTCCATGAATAAAATATCCTAAATAGAAAACTATACAAATTCATTTGAATAGATGTATTGAAGTACATACAACGATAAACGGTTCATTCGCCCGAGTTTTAATCCGTGCGAATGAAAACGAAAGTTGAAAATGCGGGATCTATTTATGGATAGCTAATATTTTGGAGTTTGTTATAAAAGTGTAATTTTCTGTACTATTAGCTAAATTGGGACTAAGAAATGAGTTCCTTATAAGCGATAATTCCTTATAACCGTGTTCGCTATAACCGTATTTTTATATTAAATAAAGAAGGGCAAAATTCGGGCCAAAATAAATTGTTCCCTATAACAGAAGTTCGCTATAACCGTGTTCGCTATAAGTGAAGTTTACTGTAGTAATATACTGAGATCATACACTGAAGGACATTTCAATTAAAAGTATTGAACGAACTCAGGCTCGTTGATAATTTATACCTTTACATCTTTAAGGGCATAATTTTAACAAAGGTAACAAGATATTAAGTGTGACAAGGGTTAACAATGAAAGTATTTATACACTGCATAATGTTAAAATTATACAACAAATATTATAAGACATATACCTTTTATCTGGCCATGCTACGACAGACTGTCTGGGAACACTTGGGGAAAATTTGAGGTCATGTGTTGTTAGAGAACCTGTCCTGTGAACACCTGGTCTGGAATCTGTTAACATGAATATTATAATCTTATGATATACAACAAATGACTGAATCTCAATAAAAGCTTGCTACATGTACAATTGCATTTTGATCTGAGTTTTGCAGTTTGTTAAAACTGGTTTCATATCAACAAGTCATTTAAAGACATCTTTGTTCATGTATAATAATTAACAAACAGTTAATACTCTCTACAAATGCATGAGTTCTTCTAAATATACATTTTGGAATTTTTGTTTATCTGAAGTAAATTATATCATTATACCTCACCTATAATAGTTATTTATACCTCACCTGGAATAACATTGTACCTTACCTTGAGTAAAATAATCCTTACCTTGAAATATTATTGTACCTTACCTTAAATATTTTTATTTCCTTGAACATTATATTACACTTTACCTTGAATTTTATATTAAACCTTACCTTGAATACTATGATCTTCATCATGAAATTGAGCATGATGATGTTGTTGTCTTTTATGTAATAGAGGAGCATGTTTGGCGACAGGTGTTGTTGGACTCATCTTATGAATTTCTGTACTACTGCTCGATCGTAACTCCGAGTCACCTTTTAATCGCTGGAAACTCTGCTTCGTTACTTGACTAATTGGTACATTAGGAACTTTTGCCGCCGTACTCAAATGAAGTTGTCCTTTAAATATGAAGACGGTAGTGTACATTTCGAATTCTTTCTTTAGATAATAAATTGTTTTAATGAATGTCTACTACATTCATTTTTAATCTTACTGAATGATTTTTTAAAATATAAACAAATATTTCTGTAATAAACATCAGGTTACATGGACAACTAAAGTAGAAGATTATTTTCTAATGACATTTGATACAAATGTTATAATTTTATACTATGTGAACAACTGTACTCATAAATAACAACAAGAGCGATCAGTAATCACATGTGTCGCCTCATGATGGCCAATTTTATGTTGGGCCAAGTTTTGTGACAGACAGACAGACAGACGGACAGTGCACAACTAGACTTGGTACTGATCATTCCTGTAAAGTTTGGATAAAATTGCACCAGTAGTTTATGAGGAGTAGTCCGAACAAGCTTTTGTGTATCTGGCAACACACAGAAAAAAACACCTTTTTATCAAAGGGCCATAACTCGGCCAAAAATCGTTCAACCGAAAAACCCATGCAATATGCGCAAGGACTTGAGTTACAGATCAATCCTATAAAGTTTCATTGAAATTGCATTAGTGGTATAAGAGAAGTAGTCCGGACAAACTTTAAAAATAAAAATTATTAAAGGGCCATAACTCTGCCAAAAATCATTGAACCGGAAAATGCTGACAATACGCACAACTAGACTTGGTACTGATCATTCCTGTAAAGTTTGGATGAAATTGCACCAGTAGTTTATGAGGAGTAGTCCGGACAAGTTTTGTGACGGACAGACGGACAGACAGACGACGGAGAAGTGATCCCTTTATGTCGCCACTACTCCGTAGAGGTGACACAAAAATGCAATAAAAATTAAAATCCTTCTGGGGCCTTGTGGAAGGACTCGGACTTCAGGACTGATAGGTCATATTGAGGACACTGCTAATTTCCTTGAGGACAAATTACACTACTAGTTCACTTCACCAAGGTGTAAATAGATATATGAGAGGGTGGCATAATTCCAGCCACCATAATGTGTGGTGACATAAATGCAGTGAATTACTTCCAAGGGAAATTGATGGATAGATTAAAGTAGCCCTAAGACCTGGGATAAAAGCGTTTAAGTTAGTCGACATGTCACATGCAGGAAACCTAGATGATAAAATCTTGCATAAAAATAGCAGGTGAGCAATCCATTAGTGAAAGTCCCCACTCCTCAGTGAACACCAGAGTTGATGAGGATGTGACCTGTGTGACTATCTACTGTTGCTGTAAATATCTATGTTTTAAACAAAGTCCTTTCAGTGTACCTACCATCACTGTGTTCAGCATTTTGTGAGAATCCTCCTCCAGTTACTATGGGCAACGTCTTAATCTCGAACCAGTAGAACAGCTCAGATATCATCATTATTATGTTTAGTTTGATAGTTTGTTGTGTGTATAGAAGATCCTCGTAACTGAAGTGCCATGTTTTATGTGGTAGATGGCGCTCACAGAATGATCTTATCAGGCGTAGGTTGTATAGTGAGTCAGCAATACCAACGTTAGACTTTAAACACACGTCTAGATAAAACAGGAAACAAATATAAAATAGCATAACTTATCATAACTAAAAAATCATCAATGATAAATTAAGAAGCTTACAGATATGTTACATTTGTGCTCAAATTGAAAAATTAATAATGGCATTTACAATGAAAAGTTAAGTCAAATATAACTTAAAAGTCGCACTGAGATATGCTTTTATGTAACAAAAAACATAGATAAAAACATATTATTACAGTCATTCAATATGAATTTTCTAAAAAAAAAAAGTTTGTTAAGTTTTTATTTTCCTTATTATGGTTGTAACAAAGTTTCACTACAAATTCTGTGTGTACATCTCAAAAAACAAAGATAAACAGAACATTTAAAATATGTATTCATATTCATTAACAATAACACAGCCCCATCCAAAATAGTTCTCTTTCTGGGCCATGGTAATCAATTTAGATAAAACATACATGTATATTTATTCAATTTTTTTTTTTTTTTTCGATTTTATTTTTTTCTTTTATCGAGTTTTTCAGATTTATTTTATGGGAAAAGGGCCAAAACATAAAGGCCTATGATCTGCAGTTTAGATAGTTGGTAGGCGGCCCTGAAACAGAACATTCTTTCTTAAGGCTAAATAATTACCATCAATTTTCAGTATATTAGGACAATAAAAGCTGATGAGGGAGGCAACAGAACAGCCGTCACTCATATCATCAACGAGACTCTCCATTATTGGTACTGATATTGAATCCTGTGTCTTACTGCTGATGATTCTAACCTGTTAGTAATAAAGTGAACATTTAGTTAAGGCCATCATTTAAAACCAAAAAAACAACACAAGTACAAGAGCTGTCGGACAGCATGCTCGACTATTCTCAGTGCTTGATAAAATGATAGTATAAATGCAATAGAATTTGCTTAGTTCAAAAAGGGCTATTCAGCCTATTGTCAAAATTCCTGTTAGAGTTCGAGGCCTCATATTACACACTTATATATACAAGCCTATGAAGTTTCAACTCATTTCCTTCAATAGTTTTGTGATATAAACTTGCACGCAAATCTTTACCAAAGTGTGATGCCGACGCCTGGGTGAGTAGCATAGCTCTCCCTATTCTTAGAAAAGACAAGCTAAAAATGTTTTCTACACCAGAACATTTATTATAATCTTAACAATGTTTTCTATAGAAACCCTTCTTTAGACCAACCCGCTCTTACGACCAATTTTTGTAAGAACAAAATTTTTTGTTCTTTATGCTGGTTACCTGATCCAGAATGTGGACAACCAGACCTTGCTTATCCACTATTAAAACCATCAGTTTCAGTCCAAATTCTTGGTTTTATTCTTTATTTGACCACACTTATGTTACTACTGATATTAAAGTCATTATTAAATGACTAAACCAGACCATGGTAAAAAATTTTACAAGCAATGATAAGAATATCCACAATTGAGACCTACCTAAAATTAAGACCACATTGGTCCAGTCCTGTTGATGGTCTTAATGGTTTTTACTGTATCTACATTTCTAAAAACAAATTCAGAATAAATTAGTTTACTTTCTTGCAGACAAACAAGTACCTTTTGACTGGTTTCACCTCCTTCTATCACAGTTGACTCTAGATTTTTCTGGACTGTGACACACACTTTATTCACCCAGAACAAAATGGCGTCCTCAGTGTCAGATGGAAGCTCACTGGAAGCATTGAATGTTGCAAACCTGCGCACAGTCTGTGTCACTCTTTCTATGCTGATTATCTCCCTTGAGAAAGCTGTCATTAATGCATCTATCAGAGCCAGATGGGCTTTCTGTAGGTAAATGATAAGACATCTTAAGTTTTTGTTATTTGAATATAAAATTTTTTACAATTTATTTTCCTACTAGTACAAGAATATATAATCCACATTATAAGTTATACATCTACATTTTCCAATCAAACAATTTCCCCGCTGCTTTTTAATGATATATTTAAATCTCTGCAATATAGATAAAATTCAGCAAATGTCGGAAAATGGCAAACAAACGGTAAAATTATTGATGATTAAAAAAAAAATAGCTATGACTAGATAAAACAAAATGTACTTTCACCATTAACCCACTGGAACTTAAAGTGATCAGCCTTAGTCACCAATATAGAGCCAGGCTAGCAAACATGTTGACCAGGTGGTTTAAGTTTAGTATTTTCATATTGAAATCTCTTAAAACTTTGAAATCAAAACTGATAAAATCTTTTACTCAAATTTATCAGGTTCAGGGTTAAGACGTGCGACCAAATTGGGATAAAGGGCCATTTGTATTGTTACTTTCTTATGTTTAATAGAGGGCCATTGGCCACTTCCTCTATTGTTATGAAATGAACTCTATTGTTCTCTTTTGTTCTGTTTACAGTTAGAATGCCCCCTATCCATTTTTCAGTAGTGTTAACAGACAGGACCAACTATCTATATTGGGAAATAAACTTTCATTACAGTTAGTATATCTGTTACTTTAAAATGTTTACCAATTTAAATGGTGCAGACTGCATAAGTATTGTTTCTGTAACATCGACCGAGTCCGAACCCACTGCATAGATACCTTTTCTTGATAATACCTGAATAATGCTCCAATGTCCTGGAATATATATATAAATTGTATCACTTATTCTATAGCAAATTTTTATTATTTTTTATGGAATAGCATTTTAATGCTTATATTCTAATTGTTATATACATGTAAAGGCAAATAACTGATTAAAATCAATAAAGCTTATCTTTTAGTGACTACCTTCCTTTTACACTTAAAGTTGTTACAAAAATTGTTGTACAGGGGTACAAAGGCAAGACAGATAGGTGACTGTTGAATGGAGTTAGTTAAAATCTTTTGTCTTTACATTATTTTGTTTGGTATAGTTTTGCATTTATACTTTTTTATGAAAAGGGAAACATTGCCAAAGGAAGATACACTTAACGAAACTTATAAGTACTCCGACCAATTTTTTTATTATATTGTGTTAGAATTAATATAACTAGTCTAAGTCGATCCTGTATAAACTTTAATCATAGTATCATCATTTTATAATAGTAAATGCATTCATGCAGTCGGAAAGTAGAGTCAGTACACATTTTCAACATTGATTTGGTATATATTTTAAAAACCGGAGTTTTCCTGCAAGTTTGAAATCGGAGTACTTATAAGTTTCGTTAAGTGTATAATACCATACCATGAGAATTTTGGCAGAAAGCACATGCTGAATAAAACAATAAAATAAATATCTGAATATGTAATACCTGTCCATTGTGATGCATTTTCTCCAAACATTGTCCGACAGGCCTGACAGTATAGTTCACTTGTGGCCAACAAGTTCGCTAGACGTGGCTTGATCTGCCAGGATCCCTGAAACAATAAATACAAATATATTCTTCCATCTTCATACAAATAATGAAATGAAGTAAATATTATATAGTAAGAAGTAACTATCAAGGCTGGCAGTTTGCCCAGGCCTTATACTATTCGTAGCTGAATTTTTGGGTTTTCCATATAATATTGAAATTCCCTTTAACTTTGAATGGACTGTTCCAAATTCAAAGCTGGACAAGTCCATTATACAATTTCAGTGAAGACAGGTTAATTCTATATGTCAAACATAAAGTTCATATTCATGTTTTGAAGTACTGTGCTGTAACAGTATCATGTCTTAGCCAGATGCTTCGCCATAACCCCATGTGACTTATGATCTGGATCATAAAATGCCTTCAATGCCTTTGAATAACCAGGAGCACAATTATTAGTCGACCATTAATAATTCATCAAGTAGCATTCAATTAATAGATTTGTATATCTGCATCTGCAGATATTGGAGTAGCAAGAAGATAGTCAGAAGGTTATTACAGATTAAAATCGAGAACTTTGCCATTCCTCCATTTCTTTTTAGTCTAAAGACATCTCACATTTATGGCAAAGTTACATTAAATAGTTTATGGTAATACAGACCTGGAACTGAATGATCTACACATAAGGCTGAATGGCTATATATAACTGGATCACAGATAGGAAGCAAAATATCAGTAACATATTAATATGCCCAGTCTGAGGAAAAGCAGGAAAATCTATCTATAACCACTGACCATTTGCCAAACTGGCCTTAAACTGTTCAATACTGTCTTCATCAGTGATGATGATCCTTAAAGTACTAAAACATTAAATATCAAAGATTTCAGTCAATAATTAGTTCCTATGAGAATTAACAAAGTTGGAGGACAGCGTGTTCAACTAATCTCAGTGTTACATGGTAAAACAAGACCCTTGGGTAATGTAGAATTTTCTAAATTCAAAAAGGGCCATATTTCTATGTTGAGTTATGGGCCTATTTGGCTCTCAGATAAGTGTGTGAAGTTTCAATTCATTCCCTTCAGTAGTTTTGCAGATACTTTCTTGCATGCAAATTTTTACCAAAATGTGATGCCCTTGTCTGGACGAGTACTGTGAGTACAATAGCTTTTCCTTTTCTTTGAATATTCAAGCTTAAAAATGTACAACATGAATACAGTTGGGCTTTATTAGAGTTTAACATATAGGACATCTAAATAATTATGTTTAGGTAAAGAGAATACAGTATAAAGATTAATATCTCACTTCTGATGTACTGTAGAAAGGATCGTGAAATTCTGTTGGCACTTTGTCCTTGTATGCCTTGCATAGTATCCACGACAGAGATGCTTTAGCTTTCGCCTGAAAAAAATAAACAATAACAGTTATAGCTGTATCACTGTTTCCCTGAGAGTGAAGTATGAAAGTAAATTTTGAAAGTGAAGTATGAACGTGAAGTATGAAAGTGAAGTAACGAAACATCCAAAGCTCCTGGTATTATATCACTTTGCCTAAAAAAAAGTGAATATAGAAAATTACTGGAATACATCATGTATCACTTTCACATGAATAAAAGTAAAAGACAAAGCTACCAGGATATCATTTTTCCCTGAGAATAAAGTACTTGTACAAATGTTAATCAACTTAATATATTTTAGTCATACATGACAATATTATTTCACAATGATATTTTTAAGCTTTTATTCTTGTGATATTTAAAGGCTCATTATGCCCCAGAAAAGTTTTTATTTCTATTTCTCAATTTTTTTTATTTTTCGAAAGTTACTCATTGGCCAATTACCTGAACCATCTTTTTTTCTGTTTTTTTTTTTTTGGCAATTACACAATCATGTAATATTGTTTCTATCTTCTACAAGATGCAGAGAAAACATATATAGATATTATAGCTTGTTATGGGAATTCAATACAAATACCCGACACCTTCATTTTTTAAATAGTTTAAAGTGATACCAACATTGTCGGTTAACGTCATGTAATTATAGAACTTTTCTGATGGAGAAACCTTACATGGGCCATTAATTGTGCATTATACTGTATCAAGTGAGAGCAAATTGTTTCTGTAGATCAGCACTTTTAACCAATCAACCGTGTCCTGATTCATGTAACTCTAATGTGTACTATAAGATCTTTCTGTCATTTATTATAAATGTAGAAATTTTAGCCAGGCATGTCTGTACATGATACAAGCTGACTTTACTCTGCCGCAGCTACCTTTATTATAGTATCATATATGTACAGCAGGATGCCTCTAGATTCATGCTAATTTTGAAAATGTTTTTAAAGGTAAAATTTTGTGAAGTGAACAAAGCAAATAATTTACAAATTGCAAATTTAGGCAATTACAATCCATTTTAACTCATCAAAAGAGGTAAAAATATGCAAAAAATTTAGCCCTTACTGCATTAGTTAAATATATGCTTTTGAGTGGATTACAGATTTATCCCTGAAAATTATATTTGATAATTTCATAGTGAAAACTATCGAAATATAATTTCACACTTTTCAATGAATAGATTACTTTTTCAGATTTTTTAATTATATGGTGATAAATACAGCAAAATTAGTAACACAATCAATCAATCAATCAATCAATCAATCACACATATCATGTAAATTATAAATAATAACCCTAATCTTGAATCTTTTTACTTTTCTTTAAATCATAGTACATATTTCTTAAGTTTAACTTTCATGAAATATTTTGGCTCATCTGGATGCATGCACCTTTAAACTGGTAATGGACTGGTCCAAATTCAAAGTAGGACAGGTCCATTTCACAAATTCAGTGGGGGTAAAAAATTAAAATTGTCAACCTTTTGAACTGAAGTACTACTATGATAGTCCTAGAGATAATATTTATAGTAGAACACTTGGTTGTACTAACAAAATAATGATAATGTTTACATAAGACATCAGTGTTTACATTCGTTCACATTTAAAAACTAATTTACTATTCTACATTTGGTCATATCAGAGACCTTTGTAATCAAATTACATAACCCTAAGTGAGTTAAAATAGGATATACATGTACATGTAATTATTAAGCATTTAAGTCACTTAATCCCAACAACATCTTATTAAAACACTCACTCTATATCAACAAAGTTTTGCCAAATTATTTCTTACAAAATAGCATGTATATTATATCTGTTTAAATGTTTCTACTTTATATAAATCTGAAAAGATTAAAATGGATCATTCATAAACTACTAAGTATCATAAAAAGGCTGGCACCCTTTATTTTACATAATAACTAGAAAGAAAAATCATCCGCATTTTTCATACAATTGCAATTCATGAACTTTGCACAACTGATACTATATCTATCATTAACTGGAATCCCTATAGTGATCAAGTCATTGTCACCAGTATAGACCCATGGCAGCCTACATGTAGACAACCCTACAGTCTGACCAGGCTCTGTACTGTTGATACAGTAATTTTTATATTGATGTATTGAAATCCATTAAACTGTTCGAAATTCAAAGCTTGGGGCAAATTAATTATTCAAATGCAGCAAGTCTAACCTGTGTACCAATTATGCTCTTTGTAAATTATGACACAATCTGTCACATTTCAGCAAAAAATATAAAGACAGCGCTAATTTTAAGCCTTTAACCGCCAATTATCTAGAGTCTATCAAAAATGTACTTACAATGTTCTTGTTCTTTTTGTATTGTGTCTAACAATGAGTAAAAATCAACTAAACATTAAGTAAGCTGTCCATAAAATTAACAAGTTTGAATTAGCATGTTGGAAATTCTTACACACAATTTTGGAAAACTATGATTTTCATAATCAGGATTTATATGAATAATTTAATGACCTTGTTTGTACTGAGCAATGGGCACACTCTGCCTTCATTTTGAATGTGTCCAAGAGCTTCCAATTTTCCCTTTAGATGAGCCCTTGCCACCAGATTAGATCAATGCCAGCAGGCACTTATGTGTAATCTGTACATGCTGTAGCTAGGCTTAATACTGTTTTTAACTTAATTTTTGTATATTGTTATAAAAATCCCTTAAAATTTAAATGAACCGTTTCAACCTAAAAGCCAGGCAAGTCCTTTATACGAAGTCAGCAGTTAGATTAGCTAGCAGTAAAAACTAATCACAGTACATAAATATACGGGCTCGCATTACCGTATACGGGCTTGCATTACCGTATACTGCTGGAAGAGATACATTACAGACCATGAATGATCAGTTGGAACTAGTCGCACAGGTAAATTCAGCAGCCCCCAGCAGGTCAAACTATTGCAACTTACAGGTTATTATGTCCCTTTTTTTTACATAAAAAACATTTATAAACATGTCTTGTCATCTCAACAAAAATGTCTATGAATTGAAAGGCTTTATTTTCTCATAAAAGTTATACCACCAACCAAAATTTATATGTATTTATACAATATCATGTATAATTTCTGTCAACAAATTTCATTTATAAAGATTAATTAATAATTGACACTTGCAAAAAACCAACAACAAGAAATAATTAACAAAACATGCATTTAATGCATTAGGATAAATTTCATCAATTACACAAAAGTGCAAAAATCAATTCACTCTCGATATATAGCCATGTAATTACATTAATTCGTAAACCTGTCTATATGATCAAAGTTTTGTACTGATATGACTCATCTTGTAACATAATACAGTATTGTTACTGAACGTTTATTTACTGAAGGAAACAGTTATCATTTCTTTTTGTGAATAATATGACCAATAAGAAATATTCAAACAAATATATCCATTATGCATCACAACCCCATCATGATCAACTAGATCTATATAGTTAATTGATTGCCATAGACCAAAGTATTTTCTACAGATCTGTTGTATTGAAATCCTTTGGAAAATGTAAAGTTGTAAACATTAAGAATCGTTCATGTAATGTCACTGTCCCTACTCCAAAAGATTAAGTCAGCATATTTTGCTTTTTTTTAAAAATAACTATTATTTTTAATTCATTTTATTAAGTCATTTATAAAACATTTATTAGGTTATTAATTTGAAGACATAATGGTAGATAGGTAGCTCCGAGTAGATAGAGATACATGCAGTTCAAGCTAGATACACATGTATTTAACTCGAAACACTTTACCAATTACTGATAAAATCTTTTTACAGATTATGTTGCAATGTTGCAATTGGTAACAAAATACCTACAGTACTGTCTGTAGTGCTTCAAATAGGCTCCAACATACATTCATTACTGTACAGAAATGGGGACTAGAAACCCATACAGATTGTGATACATGGAAACAACAGCTATTGCAGTGAGCTTCAACTTTACTACAGTAAACTGCCTATGCAAAATTATCTATATCATATCTCATAGGCTATAATTTTCTTCTATATATTTTAAAAGGTTGTGGAAAACGCTTTTAAATGCTAATAGTTTACTTGAGCAGTAAACTTGAAATGCAACTTCAACATTTTATACTTTTATTTATATCATAACCAAATCTGAACTAATTAACCAGTTTACATTGTTTACTGTGAATGCAGCATTTCATGACAAAATTTCACCCTGCAAAATGTATGGGTTGTTTATCTTGCTAGTACTGTGAATGTGATGTTCAGACTTGTTTGACAAGCTGCTGAGAACATTTAACTAGAAAGACCTTACCATCTACTAACAAAATTCAATGTTGTCATTCAGACAATTTAACTGCCACAAATGCATTTTGGGAAACCTTAGCTTAAGCCTTAAGGTCTTCAGTGTACCCATTTATATATTATGACATGATTTGAATGCTGAAGACAGACTCGTAGGGAAGGTCCACAAATAATCGTGCCAGGTATCTGACATGCTCATATAAATTCATTGAGCACGCTGTAAAGTAAAGTGAGGCATATGCTGATAAAATAATATATAATCATTGTCTATTGATAAGCCAAGTATCAAAATATAAAAAACTTTATTTGAAAATATAAACAGCCATTTTTTTCCCTATATAAGTGGTACCCAATAAGGGACCCATTCACAATCACCAAAGGACCTTCACAATTTTCAGACTGGGTCCAACGGACCCGTTCACAATTCTGATGAAATTTCACAATTTCGATTAATTAAGCCTTTAATAATGTAATATTTCCTCTCTTCGCATAATGATGCTAAAATTTTGCCTGTGGTGCTTTGTTTTTCTTAAAAAGCATTTAGCCGATCATGATTTCTGTTGCATTCACCTTTAAATTGTCGTATTATTTAAATATGAAACTTCAAGGGACGAATCAATACCAGGGCTTTTTTTCACAAGTTGGGGAAGCAGCCCCGCCCTTAATTTTGGGGAAAAATTACATGGTATATTTGCAAAAGGGGAAGAAAAAACTTGATGTAAATTCAATATTTGGGGAAAACTGCATGATTTTAAAGAAATTTTCTTTGGGGAAGCAGCCCTAAACCGGCCCCTGTAATAGAGGGTAAAAAGGCCCTGAATACCGAAACAAGCGTCTGGCAATTTCTGTAAACATCTTTCAAAATGTATCGTAACAGTAAAGCTTTAGACTTTAAGTACTTTTAAGTCAGTTAAATTATATGCTATTACTGCTTAATAAGATATTCACAATCTTAAGTAAAAATTCACAATTTGTTAAGAAACAACGCTTTTTTTTACAATTTTTATGGTACCGGACCCATTCACAATTCGGGAAAAAATCGCTGATAAACTACCTGATAATTTCAGATAGGTGAAAATATACACCCATTTGTCACCATGTGGCCAAAATGTTTGATCATGTGAGTACAAGATTGACCTCTGGTTCATTTAAATATGCGTGGACAGTTACGAAAACCATGCCATGTCCTTTTATGAAAATACTTTTTTTTAAAAATAATTATCCAAAGGTGATTTGCTGACTTATGTTCTACTACTTTATTTAAGTACTGTAAAATAAAAAAAAAAAAAAAAATTAAAATGAAATCTTGAGTATTGAAATCATGCCATGTCAATAAAGATGTTCTAAATACTCAAAGAGGTTTCTGTGTTACATCATAAGGGGTCTCGTGTAACTCCTAATTGTCATGGTCCGCATCAGCTGGTTTAATTGATGTTTCGCAGTATGATATGCAATTTTATTGAAAGAATTTACATTTCAATAATTTAGGTTCTTCTTAACCTTGATACTCTTATTTCATGCTTAAGCTGCTAATAGTTTTATATGTTTTTATTTTCAGAACTGTTATATGTTAGTAAATATGTTTTATGCCTTTGTTATTGTCGGTAAATAGCTTATTAGCTAATGTTTCTTGTAATATGTAAACCAACTTAAAATAAAGTTTCTTGTATCTTGTATCTTGCAAACAGATCCCTTGGCTTTATTAAAAGAAATGTCATTACTAAAAATGAGAAAGGTGAAAGAACTAGCATACAAGTCCCTGGTCCGCCCACAGGTTGAATATGCCTCAACTATTTGGTCTCCTTACACTAAAACCAATATTGACAAAGTTGAGATGATCCAGAGACGTGCAATAAGATGGGTTAAAAGGGATTACTCCCCTTACTCTAGTGTCACAGCCATGCAGGAAGAACTGGGCTGGCGATCCCTTGAACATCGCAGATTGGACTGTAGACTGATAATGTTTTATAAGATATACCATAACCTAGTTGCAATTAATCTCCCAACTTATGTTCAAACCCCACATAGATTAACCAGACATATGCATCCCTTATCCCTACGCCAAATACAGGTATCCTCCGACTACCATAAGTACTCTTTCTTCCCTCATAGCATTATACTATGGAATAAACTTCCTAGTAACATTGCCACCCTGCCCAACCTGAGTCAGTTCAAACAGGCAGTGGTGGGTTTGCAGTACTAGTCTTACTCCCAGTGTTTTAAAACTATTTTATCTCTTATCATCTTGTTTTACTATTAACATTTTAACCATGACTAGAATACATTTTCAGTCTCACCTTCCAAGCATGTCAATGTTTGGACTTTTCTTTTTTAACTTTTCTTTTCACCTTTTACTAATAATCCGACGTGCACTAAATCCCTGCCTTTAACACTCGTAAGAGGGGTTGGCAGTATCCAGAGATAGAAAGATAGATTGTATCGGATGATGAATATCGATGATATATTGATATCGCAAAATCAATGACAGCCATAAAATCAATGCAAAATTGTCTTAGACAAGTTTCAATGACAATACTGAAAACTATTTTCATTCTAATTTACCTTGTATGTATCATATTCATCCATAGGTATGATCTCGATAACTTCACTATCCAAGTCATCCATGTTTGAACTTTGCCAGGAACCCTTGTTCACCTGACAAGATTTTAGAAGATTACAAAACGAAGCCACCTTTTTCTCCTTCTCTCAGTCCCACTATAACAATGACAGATGAACTGCCAATGTTGAATTTTATTAGAACTTTATGCAAGAAAAAAAAAGAAAAAAAAATGAATAGAAAATTTATGCAAAAGTCATGTTTACTATTTGTGGACCGATTGTCTCATGGAACAAATGAAATCAATCCGTAAACTAAGTGAAAAAGTGAGTTAAGGATTTATTGTCTGAAAAGTTGCTTGTGTATTACTCAAAATACGAGAAAAAATGTGTATTTTAGTCATTTTACAGCTATTCATCAACAATTCTTCCATTTCCTGTTGCGCATGCGCACATACTGAAACGGTGTTACAGTAACGATAACATAACCGTACTTACGTTGGTGGAGGCTATCGGACATCCCTTTCCTGGAGTAAGGCGGAGTTTACTATTATAAGGGTTTTTTTAAGCGCGAACGTTAAAGAGCGTCTGAGTGAAAGCTGCTATAGAGAATGGAAAGGGACGTAAATATGCGAAATGTACTTTTAATTCTCCATCAGTTTTTATTAAAAAAAAAGAAAATTAATTAGATCTACGTTGAATTGAATCAAAATAAATCAGTCAAAGCAACTTATAGCATCACGAAACAATATGTGCGTGTCTCTATATAATAACGCTAATAATTGTGAAATTGTATACTTTTATTATAGTTGCTTTGTATATTTATGCACTTACAAAACACATTATGATATGACTATTATTAAGTGAATTTATATAAATTGTCGACATTTGAGGTGAAGGCAAACCATTTTTTTAAAAAGTTCAACCAATTACACCAATAAATAGTTTGTCTTGGTTAAAATAAAGTCGACAACCCGTGTATGGAGGTCACCTGCCCCAGCACCTGAATAAAGTGCAATCTAAACTTGAGATGTACATGCTTCCGAATGTTTCACCATGAATAAGTAATTGTAGGTAATCAATTACACCCCTAACGCATGTTACCTGTAATTATTAAACATGAAAAACAGTTCGCCCATAATCTGATAGAGCACTATATCAATGACGACAACCAATATAGAGAATTCCAAAATAACCACGGCAATTTGCGATGATTGCACTTGTTTGTATACCCTTCCCATTTCCATTCTGTCCAGTCTTGCGTAAGGATTTTTCAGAAAATCATGCATTACTGTTCTTTATATTAAATAAGAAATATGTATCAATGTAATCATGTTCGCGCGTTTTCAATCCACTAGGATTCTACAGGGGCTTTGCCTGGATCGTCCTGGGCTCTGCCTGGGTCAACCTAGGCTCTTCCAGCGTCATCCGAGAGCGACACATTATTATATGACTATTATTAAGTTGTCGACATTTGAGGTGAAGGCAAACCATTTTTTTTAAAGGGTTCAACCAATTACACCAATTAATAGTTTGTCTTTGGTAAAATAAAGACGCGACAACCCGTGTATGGAGGTCACCTGTCCAGCACCTGAATAAAGTGCAATCTGAACTTGAGATGTACATGCTTCCGAATGTATCACCAATAATAAGTAATTGTAGGTAATCAATTACACCCCTAACGCATGTTACCTGTAATTATTATACCTGAAAAACAGTTCGCCCATAATCTGATAGAGTATATATCAATGTCGACAACCAATATATGGAGGTTCACCTTTTTATACCCTTATACGATCATATATAGTGTATAGCCTACCGGGTTAGACTGTAAACTGAATGGTGTATCCCTAGAAAAGTGCATTGTTAAATGCCAATTCTGACAGCCGGTATCTGGATGTAGACAAGTTTTAATGTCTGAAATGTAAAATCATGTACTTTACTTGTATATTTAACTCCATTATTTCTATTACGTGTATAGCCATTATATGAACATTTTTTTTTTACAAATAATGCAAGTTTATAGGAATAGTGATCTTCTGATTCATAAATGAGGTTATGAAAACAGTGACAATTATGTTAACAACCAATATACGGATGTAAGGTCTGCGGGTTTAAAAATTTTAAAATCTACATGTATATACATTTACTTTACAATCTTCTGGTATAACATGTTCTTAAGGT